AATGTAAAAAGCAAGTCGTTGTTCCATCGTATGCGAGGGGCACCCGTCGCACAATCCTCTGTTGCGATTGCAGATATCGCATTCATGCTACCATCTCTCAGTAGCAGTTTTGGCTCAAGCCATGTCGGCGGGGCCACCGAAGCGTCGCAAGACAGACGCCGAAGCACTGATTGAGTTACACAGAGGCCCATATGTATCAGAGCGGAGTCTTACATACATTCTCAAGTACGTACGAGATAATGGTATACCAGGTAACATTTCGCGTTATGCGCAGTGCAGCGCAAGGCAGAAATTAATCGGTGCCGAATCGAACCAGTACGGTGACGTGCTTGTCGGCATTGATATGCCATTGAACAGCGGTAAGAGCTTCAAGAACTGGGCGTGCGCCCCTGGCCCGTACTTGTACTCGACGGCGAAACGGAGTAAGGGGTTCAGAGATCTGTTGCGCCGCCAGCTCGCCAAGCACCCGTGCTCCCTAGCATCCCCATGGCGCATCTGCTTATATTTCGACGGTACCTCACCGCGTGACCCGTTGGCCAAGGGCAAAGACCACCGAGGGGTGGATGCTGTATACTGGTCGTTTCTAGAGTTCGATGAGTTCTTGCAGGACGAAGACGCATGGCTCGTGCTCAGCACCGCTCGGGTTTCCAAAGTGAGGGACATGCCTGGAGGGATCGGGCAGTCGGTTGCAATGACGTGCAACGAGCTCATGTTCAATACGCCTGGCGGGGTGAACTTTCGTACGACTGGAGATATCTTGTTTTTTTTTTTTTTTTTTTTTTTTTTAAAAATTTTTTTTTTTTTTTTTTTTTTTTTTGTTTTTTTTTTTTTTTTTTTTTTTTATTTTTTTTTTTTTTTTTTTTTTTTTTTTTTTTTTTTTTTTTTTTTTTTTTTTTTTTTTTTTTTTAATCTTGGACGTGTCAGAAGCAGGGGATGCCACAAGGCTCGCGACTATAATCGCGAGGTTGGGCTGCATTGTGGGCGACGAAGAAGCCCTCCGTGAATTCCACATGAACAAAGGGCACGCGGGCACCAAACCGTGTGCCATCTGCAGGAACGTGCTCAACCAGAAGTTCGACTATGCGTCGCACGACACGTCTGGTACATTTATATCGGACGCATGCCTCGACAGAAGCAAACGCGTCGTCAACGCAGACGCGCAGATCGTTGCTATCTTGGAAAGGCTACGCCCCGACTGGGAGAGGCACGACCGCGGTGAGATTAGCGACAACACGTGGAAGGAGATCACGCAGCTAAAGGGTTGGAACTTTCATCCGACGCACGTTGCCTTGGACGCCAACCTCGCCTACGGTGTCATGACGCTCCTCTGCTTCGATTGGATGCACATCTATAGCGTCAATGGCATCGTAGCTAAAGAAGTGAAAGCTTTCACTGAGAACAAGGCGGTTTGCAAACTCTGCAGCGCCGAAGATCTCAACGACTATCTTTCAAACTGGACATGGCCCCACAAGTTTCACGCCGCCAATGCCGTGTTCGCACAGGGCGAACTACAAGCAAACGCATCGCAAGAGCTGTCTATGATTCCCGTGCTGGCGCACTTCATCAGGCAAGTCATTGCCAAGCTGCCTGATGCAGGCACCATCTCGGGTCATATTGCAAGTTACTTGCACTGTGCGATGCCATTGATATGGTTATTCTCTCGTCCAGGGGCCTCGCGACTGCACGTGAGCTGGATGTCGCCGTGATGAAGCATTTGGAGCTACACACGCGCACATACGGGACTAAATATTGGGTTTACAAACACCATATGGCAACTCATCTTGCCGACATGTACTTCAAATTCGGACCCTTGAACAGCTTCGTCCACGAGCGGAAGCACAAAGTTTGCAAGAAGTTTGCAAAGGACCATCTGTGCATGAGGACCCCCGAGAAGTCATTGATGATGCAGCTCACGGCGCAGCACAGTTACGACATGGAGCACTTCAACATCTCAACGACGCTGGTCGACCCCGTAGCCGCCACCAAGAAGCTCATGGGCGTCTTGAAGGAGTTGCGCCCGCAAACGCAATCGGCATCATCGAGCCTCACGGCGTGGACCAAGTACGGGCCGATCCATAGAGGAGACATATGCTTGCTGGGACGTGCTGCAGGACATGCAGCCGTGCAGGTCTGGTTCCATGTAGATTGTGACACAGAGACTGCGCCCTCAGGGCCTCTATGCTTAGTCTTGGAATTGCAGACTCGGCGCGTGCACAGCGCAGATTACTATTCTAGGTACTCCATAGACGAAGATAATAATCCCGTGCTCATTCCTTTGGACTCGCTGAGGCACCCTGTGATTAACAGGCGTCTCGGCGATGCAACCACTTGCATTTGGCCAGTTGAGTATCGCAAATTGGAATGCTGACGCGTTTACGATGTAGAAGTATACATCTTCACATCAATGAATACATCTTCAAAACATCCCGCAAGAAACACAACATCGAAATTGAAACAACATTGAACGCCCCAAAATCAAGTATATGTTAGCCGAAAAACTATCATGTTATCCGAAATAAATCAACATGCTAACTTTTATAAATGAGTTATAACTAAATTATAACTCCGCCTAACAGTTACTAACTTCAAATGCCTTCAGGCAGAGGAGCCCAGAGCGGCCTCCGGCACCGTTTCCGGACAGATCCGGTGGATCCGCTGGATCCGGTGACGAATCCCGAACCGGCGCCCTCGCTTGAGACATCCTCACAAAACCGACCCCGGGGGAGGTGCCCAGAGGAGCCCAGAGCGGCCTCCGGCACCGTTTCCGGACAGATCCGCTGGATCCGGTGAATCCGCCGACGAATCCCAAACCGGCGCCCTCGCTTGAGACATCCTCACAAAACCGGCCCCGGGGGAGGTGCCCAGAGGAGCCCAGAGCGGCCTCCGGCACCGATTCCGGACAGATCCGCCGACGAATCCCAAACCGGCGCCCTCGCTTGAGACATCCTCACAAAACCGGCCCCGGGGGAGGTGCCCAGAGGAGCCCAGAGCGGCCTCCGGCACCGTTTCCGACAAATCCGGTGGATCCGGTGACGAATCCCAAACCGGCGCCCTCGCTTGAGACATCCTCACAAAACCGGCCCCGGGGGAGGTGCCCAGAGGAGCCCAGAGCGGCCTCCGGCACCGTTTCCGGACAGATCCGGACAGATCCGGTGGATCCGCGCCCCGGGGGAGGTGCCCAGAGGAGGAATGAGGAGGAGGAGGAGGAGGAGGAGGAGGAAGAGGAGGAGGAGGAGGAGGAGGAGGAGGAGGAGGAGAAGATGATGGAGCTGTGGGGTGGAGGAGGACAGACGGAGGCAAGAGAAAAATGGAGGAGGAGGAGGAGGAGGAGGAGGAGGAGGAGGAGGAACCTCATCCTCACCCTCGCCAACAGGCGCACGCACCTTCTTCTATATACAGAAACTTCCGATCAACCGCAGAGCGGCCGGCTAGTCTATATGACGCAAGTGGTATCGCTCCCCCCCGGTTCAGGGGCGGCCTACTTTCAATGTTCTCTCTCGCACACACACACCAGTAACCAAATTGAGCCCCCAGAGTTTTGGGCCCGTCTCCGGTCCTTTGGGTGACCATTTCAGTTCCGAGATGGGTGACGACGGCCGTGGACGGCCCCAAGTTGGCGCCAAGAAAGCTCCCAAGATGCCCGATATCTGCTAAGGACGGCAGAAGATCGCCCAAGACCAAAATCAGCCTGGCGAAGGACCTAATCATATGCAGCGGTGAGTACCGCAGTTAGGGGTATCGTCTTCGGTGGAGTTTCCTATGGGCCACGAAACGCTGCACTGGGTGGGAGAGACGCATGCTACCTTTGCCACTGGGGCCTTCGGTGGATCTCCCTATGGGCCACGAAAAGTTGTACTGGGTCGTGGAGACGCATGCAAAGTTTGCCACCGAGGCCTTCGGTGGAGATCCCTATGGGCCACGAAATGCTATTCTGGGTGGGGGAACCGCATGTGGACTTTGCCATTGTGGCCTTCGGTGGAGCTACCTGTGGGGCCACGAAACGCTGTACTGGGTGTGGAATCGCACGTGGACGCTGCCATTGAAGCCTTCGGTGGAGCTCCCTTCGGGGCCACACAACGTTGTACTGGGTTGGGGAGACGCATGCGGACGGTTCCACTGGGCCTTCGGTGGAGCTCCCTATGGGGCCACGAAACGCTGTGTTGTGTTGGGGGGTGGAGCCCCCTATGGGGCTACGAAGCGCTGTATTGGGCGGGGGGAGACGCATCATTCGGGCGGTAGCGCTGTGACCTTAAAGGCAGCTCCCTCTGGGGCCACGAAACGCTGTACTAGTTGTGGGGCACGCATGCGGGCGGTAGCACTGGGGCCGTTGGTGGGGCTCCCGATGGGGCCACGACAAGCTTTGTTGGGCGGGGGGACGCATGCAAGCGGTAGCACTGGGGTGGAGCTCCCTATGATGCCACGAAGCGCTGTATTGATGCGGAGAGCAGAGGCAGGGATGGGAGGAGGGAGGAGCGGGAGGAGGAGGAGGAGGACGAGAGGAGAGGAGAGGAGAGGAGAAGAGAAGAGAGGAGAGGAGACGCGAGGCGCCGTCTCTTCAAAACGAGGACCCAACACCACAGGATGGCTGGGAAATGCGGATGTCCGCAAGGCTTCTGCCAGATTTGGGCGTCCCCGTTGTCTCGGGCTCTTGAGGCCCACGCCGGACTGCCCCGGGGCTACAAGAGCTACAAGAGAGCCCCCGAGAGAGAGCCCAACCGCGCGGCCGCCCTCTCCTCTCTCCGGGTCTCTTGCGCGCAGGACAATTTGCCCAGTGGTGCCCCCGGTTGGCCACACGCTGGTGCGGATCGCCTCCGCCTCCCCGCCGACGAAAAACGTACTTATGTTCAGTGGATTTGTGTCGGGTCATCTTTGGCACTTCTCGTGGCATAGTGGTGGGGCCCTGGGTGTTGGGCGGCTGATGATACGGGTTGACTGCCGAGTAGTCCGCAGCTGCGCTGGCTCCATACGAAGCGATGAAAGAAGTCGCGTTATCGGAGGTCGGAAGTCACAACACGGCTGGTGACTTCTGGACAGTGATACATGGCGCCGTTTACGACATGTCCCGTTTTGCGCCATTTCATCCTGGCGGCCCGATTATCATGTTGGCTGCAGGGACTGACTGCACAGTGATGTTCGAGCAGTACCATCTGCGCAGCCAGGCAGCCTTAGACAAAGTCGCAGGCTGCAAGGTCGCCGCTCTCAAGGGCAAGTCTCCCGCCATGGGCCCCATGTTCATTGAGCTCCAACGTCGCGTTGCAGAAAGACTGAGCGGAGAACCAAAGCGGCCTCGCAGCGTGCAAGTTTTGTTCCTTTTGGATGTGATAGCAGCTGTGCTTGCGCTGTGCTGGTCAGTCCGTGCAAGTGCTACCACACCGACTTGGCAACTTCTTTCAGCTCCACTCGCCATTCAGCTCCTGTTATTGCGACTATTCGGACAGGCGCATGCCCTCGGCCACATGCAGATCTGGCCCGCACCGACTGACATTTTGGCGACGCTTGCTGACAGCGATTGGGAGTCCTGGCATCGGCCTGGCGACGGTCCCGGAGTCCAGCGAAAACCCGCGCAAGATGCTGAACGAAGCGCACGTTGCGGCGCAGTTCGAGTTCCCAGATGGGCGTGGACCGTGCGAGCACCAGTCCGTTCACCACGTTCGCGGTGCCGAGCTTGAGCACGACCAGTGCTACAAGGTCTGTTCAATGGGCGGGCTGTTGAGGATCGGCGGGCGCCAGACCTACCTGACGGTGAACACATTCCAGCGTTTTCGATGGTACCGGATTTTGGCTGGCGTGTTTTCGGATTGCATGTTGCCTGCCGTGGCCGTCATCGAGCGCGTCGCCTTTCTCTCGCACTCTTGGGTACCGCAAGCCCATTGGGTCGAGATCGGGGTTTGCACGTTGGGGATTCTCGCGTCATGCGCGTTTCTCAGGGCATCCTTGCTGCTGTTCGCGAAAGGCATGGGAGGAGTGTGCTGCTTCGCATGCGCGCAGTTTCTCAAGCAGCACCTTGTTGCATCCAATGCCGAGCTTTTTTTCGCACAGCACGTGTGGGACCGCGAAGTTGGCGAAGAAGAGGTGAACCAAGATTGGGGCAAGCACAACGCTGAGACGTCGGTGTCTCTGAGGGGCATGGAGAGCCATCCCGCGTGCTGGGGAATGCCGTGGATGGCAGGAGCCAATCCGTCAACTCTGACGTATCATCTCGAACACACGTTGTTCCCTGGCGTGGCCTATGCGAACTTGCCCAAGATCGCAAGGATCGTGGAGACCACTTGCGCCGAGTTCGGCGTCGGGTGCGACGTGCTGGTCGGCGGATCCCAGTTGCGTCGGAGATGGACGACTAAGCTCACCCACTACGCCACTGATCAGACGAAGGCTGTGGGCATTTCGAGTATTGTAGACGCTGCTCGAGAGTTGTTTCAATTTGTGTTTTACCTGCTCACAGGCAGGTGACAGAAGTCGCGTCTGGCGAATTCAGTGTCATCGCTGGCGTCGCTCAATCTACTTGGTGTTGTTTGCTCTACCTTGTTGTGTTTTGTATGTCCCATACGCTGCGTCTATGTACCCTCTGGCCTGCTCCTTCCCTTCTTTCAAACAGTGCCTTGGCGGTGCGAGCATCTAATTTGAGGGAGTTTCTGTGGAACTACCGTCATCCTCACCCCCGGCGCGGGGGGCACAGGGGCCCAGAGCGGCCTCCGGCACCGTTTCCGGACGGATCCGGTGGATCCGGTGGATCCGCCGACGAATCCCAAACCGGCGCCCTCGCTTGAGACATCCTCACAAAACCGGCCCCGGGGGAGGTGCCCAGAGGAGCCCAGAGCGGCCTCCGGCACCGTTTCCGGACAGATCCGGTGGATCCGCTGGATCCGGTGGATCCGCCGACGAATCCCAAACCGGCGCCCTCGCTTGAGACATCCTCACAAAACCGGCCCCGGGGGAGGTGCCCAGAGGAGCCCAGAGCGGCCTCCGGCACCGTTTCCGGACAGATCCGCTGGATCCGGTGGATCCGCCGACGAATCCCAAACCGGCGCCTCGCTTGAGACATCCTCACAAAACCGGCCCCGGGGGAGGTGCCCAGAGGAGCCCAGAGCGGCCTCCGGCACCGTTTCCGGACAGATCCGCTGGATCCGGTGGATCCGCCGACGAATCCCAAACCAGCGCCCTCGCTTGAGACATCCTCACAAAACCGGCCCCGGGAGAGGTGCCCAGAGGAGCCCAGAGCGGCCTCCGGCACCGTTACCGGACAGATCCGCTGGATCCGGTGGATCCGCCGACGAATCCCAAACCGGCGCCCTCGCTTGAGACAACCTCACAAAACCGGCCCCGGGGGAGGCGCCCAGAGGAGCCCAGAGCGGCCTCCGGCACCGTTTCCGGACAGATCCGCTGGATCCGGTGGATCCGCCGACGAATCCCAAACTGGCGCCCTCGCTTGAGACATCCTCGCAAAACCGGCCCCGGGGGAGGTGCCCAGAGGAGCCCAGAGCGGCCTCCGGCACCGTTTCCGGACAGATCCGCTGGATCCGGTGGATCCGCCGACGAATCCCAAACCGGCGCCCTCGCTTGAGACATCCTCACAAAACCGGTCCCGGGGGAGGTGCCCAGAGGAGCCCAGAGCGGCCTCCGGCACCGTTTCCGGACAGATCCGGTGGATCCGCTGGATCCGCTGGATCCGGTGACGAATCCCACACCGGCGCCCTCGCTTGAGACATCCTCACAAAACCGGCCCCGGGGGAGGTGCCCAGAGGAGCCCAGAGCGGCCTCCGGCACCGTTTCCGGACAGATCCGCTGGATCCGCTGGATCCGCTGGATCCGGTGACGAATCCCAAACCGGCGCCCTCGCTGAGACATCCTCACAAAACCGGCCCCGGGGGAGGTGCCCAGAGGAGCCCAGAGCGGCCTCCGGCACCGTTTCCGGACAGATCCGGACAGATCCGGTGGATCCGCGCCCCGGGGGAGGTGCCCAGAGGAGGAATGAGGATGAGGAGGAGGAGGAGGAGGAGGAGGAGGAGGAGGAGGAGGAGAAGAGGAGGAGAGGAGGATGAGGCGGACGAGGACGAGGAGAGAGGAGGAGGAGGAGGAAAAGATGATGGAGCTGTGGGGTGAGGAGGAAGCAGACGAGGTCAAGAAAGATGGAGAGGAGAGGAGGAGGAGGACAGGAGGAGGAGGAGGAGGAGGAGGAACCCCATCCTCACCCTCGCCAACAGGCGCACGCACCTTCTTCTATATACAGAAACTCCCGATCAACCGCAGAGCGGCCGGCTAGTACCCTCATATATACTCCTTATCTTCACCTCTCCTGCGCCTGGCCGTTTGGGCTCAGGTATTGGGACGGATCGATCATACCCTTGATCGTGCAGGAGGGAAAGACATCCATCTATCCCTCCTTCCCTCTACCAACGGATCAGGGTCTCTGTACCCTTGTACTACAACCCCATACACAGGAGGAGGAGGAGGAGGAGGAGGAGGAGGAGGAGGAGAAGGAGGAATATGATGAGGAGGAGGAGGAGGAGGAGGAGGAGGAGGAAAAGGAGGAGGAGGAGGAGGGAGAGGGAGAGGGAAAAGGATGATGAGGAAACAGGAGGAGGGAGAGGAGGAGGAGGAGGAGGAGGAGGAGGAGGAGGAGGAGCCGTAGCCATTTTGGCTCAAGGGGCCTGCTCCTGAACTTCCCAACCTCGCTCAAGGGCGGCCACAGAGGGCCAGGTTGGGCGCGCGCCCCATCTCCAGCACGGCCCTTTGCAGTTGGCCTCCACTCGCCGTCCTTGCGCGATGGCAGGGCAGTGGCGCTGGAATGCCAGCACATGGCGCTGGGAGAAGAAGGGCAAGCAGCAGCAGCAGAGCAGGGCGTACGTCGTCTGCGAAGCGTGTGCTCGCTGGAAGTGGACGGATCGCCTCAAGAAGGATCCGCTTTGCGTCTGTGGCCAGGTTCTTGGCCATGACCCTGCTGCTGCTCCTGATACCACACAACAGAAGTATACCATTGATGACTTCGTCAAGTTGCTCCAGGAACGGGGAGGTGAGTTTGCTCTCCCGACGGTTGCCAGCCGCATCAAGGAGACCGTCACCGTCAACGCCGCCAACGGGCCCTCCCAGAAGTCCCTCAGCGAGTCCTTCAAGCTGCGTCAGGAAGCAGTGGAGAGGGCCTCGAAGCACAAGGATGCTGCAGATGAACGCGTTCAGCATCTTCGTGAACAACTTGACGAAGCCGTCCAAGCTCAGACGGCTGCTGCCACGGCCCACGAAGAGGCCAAGGCAGCAGCAGCGGCCGCGGGCCGCGCCTATGCAGCCTACGTGGGTGAAGGAGGCCCAGGTGCTGCAGCAGATGATGACAAGTCGATGGCCAGCGAGGGCTCCAACCTCAGCGACCTCGACGACCTGGACGAGGGCGACTACGAGGTCATGCGCCAGGCCGCTCAGGCCAAGCCGAAGCTCCGGCGCCTGTTCGCCAAGGTCGAGGAGCGCGCCAGGAAGAAGGCTCGCCGCGGCGCCAGGGCAGGTAACGGCGAAACCGGTCCCGTCACGGCGCCAGGGCAGCCAGCCGGGGGCGGGGCCTTCTCGCCCGCCGCCTCAGGCGCCAGCGGGCATGCGGCCTGGCAGCCCATGGCGGCGGCTATGGCGGCGGAGGTCCACGCGAACGCGCGTGCAGCCGCCCACCAGGCCGAGGGTGCCCATGCAAGTGTCGCCCCGCAGGCAGGCCCAGGGACAACGGGGGGGTAGCATTACCCTCTATCTTGCCAATATCACAACATGGAGTGAGAAGGCTGACAAGTTTTGCTTCGACCAGAAGCTACCATACGACTTTCTGCTTTTGACTGAGGTTCATAAGTCTGCAGGGGACTTGAGGCCACTCAGAAAGAAGTTTCGGAAAGCATCCTGGTCTACCTACGTTTGTCCAGCCTCCCCGACAGCTAAAGGGGGTACACATGGGGGTGTACTTCTTGCAGCACAAACTAGATACCATACACACTCCAGATTCATGGGGGCCAAGGGGCACAAGAAGCCGATTGTCGAGGGGACTCAATGGGCTAGCTGTGTCTTGAGGTTATCCAAAGTAGATATTCTACTCATCGGGGTCTACCTCTGGGACTCCATAGGGTACAAGCAGGCCAATAGGGATATTCTGTGGGAGATTATCGCTTTCATTCGGGTCATGCGCATGCCTTACATACTAGGAGGTGATTTCAACATGGACCCATCTGTCATAGAGGGGGCCAACATCCTTGAGTACATGAATGGCACGATCATCGCGCCCGACATTCCCTATACCAATGCGGTGACCAAAACCATGATAGATTACTTTATTGTTGATGATCGTTTGGCTACGAGCATCACCGTCAAGGGGCACCTGAAGGGCCCTTGGAGCCCACATTACGGGTTGACCATGACGATGGAGGCTGAGGTTTTCACCAAGCAGATATGGGCCCTTGAGCGGCCAGCCCCTCTCCCACGGGCCCTGGGACCAGCACGGCCGTGGGCGGACTACTTCGGGAAGGCTTTCCTCCAGGTCCAGGGGCCCCAGTATGCGCAGTATCCAACGTGTTTTGGGCACCACGATGCGATGCTCACGCAGTCCTTTGCCGTTCTCTGTAGGGCAGTAGAGATCCAGCAGCGAGACATCGCAGTTTCCGACATCGAGTGCCAGGCAGGGCTTGTGCCGCGCTTCGCCTGGAAGCCGCTCCTGCCGCCAGCGCCCAAGGAGGGCCGCGCGAAGTCGGCCGCCAGCCAGTGGGCCACGCTCGGCATCCGTGCGAAGGAACGGGACCAAGCTAGAGCTGGCTACGAACACTTTCAGAGGCTGCAGGAGTTCTTGAGGCACTTCTTTGACAAGATCCCCCATCCTGAACTTTCTCCAGAGGATTCTTGGGCTCTTGAGGCTTATCTTGGGGGTTATTCCGACAAGGACACACAGGCTAAGGGGTTGGAGATCATTGATCGGGTCCAGCACAAGTTCCACCTTTCTGAGTTGACAGAGTCTAAGGAGGGGTTCAAAAACTTTGTCCTGGAATCGCTAAAGAAGGGAGGAGGGGCCGCTCATGCAATCACCCGTGCCCCTGGAGCCCACCCAGAACCACTTGAGGACCTTGAAGGCCCAGACGGGGGGATCATCACCGACCCCTACCAAGTCATGAATAAGAAACTTGAATACTGGATGAAGAAGTGGGACCCGAAAGACAAAAAACACCCTGCCCCGTTCGAGCCACTTTGGGTCCGGAAGGTCCGTCTGCAAGCCATTGAGGATTGGCAGTTAGACTACCGCGACTGGGAGACCAGCGATATCTTTAATGTCGTGGCCCTCTACAAGCCCTCCGCAGCTCCAGGAGGCGACGGATGGTCAGTCCGCGATTTCCTCTGCCTGCAGGGCGAGGGCCGCCAGGATTTCACACTTTTAATCAACCAGATCTGTCGGCGACAGCAACTTCCCCTCCAGGTCCTACTCAACCTCATCTTCCTCCAGCCTAAAAATGCAGAATGTGACCGACCCCTGACCCTTACGATTGGATTGTATCGGGTGCTTTGCAAGCTTTTCAGGACGGAACTTTCCTCGTGGGACCAGGACTCCGCGGGCTTCTGGGACCAGGCGCTCAAGGGGAACGATGCACTCAGGGCCGCAGTTTTATCAGAAGTAGCAGCAGAGATAGCATCAGCAGGAGGTATATCTATGGTAGAAGCTCTCCTCGACTTAGAAAAGTTCTTTGACTCAGTGGAACTTGAGTGGATGGTCCACTCGGCACTTCGCCTCAATTATCCGACCCCCCCGCTGGCCTTGGCGCTCATGGTCCATCGGTGTACTAGGGTCCTCACGTCGGCGATCGGATGTTCAGATTTTGCAGTGCCTGACAAGTCCATGCTGCAGGGCTGCGGGGAAAATTGCTCTATGGCACGCGCATTTCTGTACCACGTGTTAGATAAGTTCCATCGGGATTATATGCCGCTCAGTTTCCGCACGTGGGTGGACGACCTCCGAGTGCGCATGTGGGCATCATCAGAGCATATATTGCGACTGTTCCCTGCTGCCATTGTCTCGTTGGGGCAGGGCCTCGCACGGCAAGGGTGCAGGCTTTCGCCCAAGAGTTGTTTGATGGCCTCCAGTTCGACTTTGGCCACCGGCGTCGCCCAGCGTCTTGAGAATGCAGGGGTAGCCATTTCAGTGCAGCGCCAAGGCAGGGATCTTGGAGTTGATGCCACACTAAGACGACAACGTAGACTCAAAAGTTCGTAAAGCTAGACAAGCAGCAGGATATACCCGTCTTGGGAAGATTCGAAGGCTCACTAAGAAGATTAAGAAGGCCCGTAGTCTGGTCAGTACTGGGGCCCAACCTCAACTTGTCTGGGGATTCCAGGGACAAGGGTGGCCCCCACGGCTCTCAGGACCCTCAGAGGCAAACTCGCTACTACCATGGGGATTGTTTGTAAGTCGGGGTGTACTACGACTGCGTACGCTTTATCACCTAAGGGGCATCTGGTCACGGATCCAGGCTACTATATTCCCTTGGGGTGCTTGCAGCTTTGGTTTTCCATCTTGAATCAGGAGGAACATTTACACGTTGGGGTTGAACGAACGTGGCCCGAGACCCTTGCTCGACTCCAGGGGCCAGGTAGGTGGAACAAGGTGTATAGCCTCATGTCGTCCGTGCTGGCCTACCTCTTAGACTTCCGCTGGGAGGTTTCGCATCCATGGAGGTGGACCAGCCCGCGCGGCCAACAGTACCACATCAAGCCAGGTAACGGCGAAACCGGTCCCGTCACGGGCGACCAGTCCGCTGTCATAGATATCTTCACCGCGTGCATCACCCAGAAGTACTGGGGGCAGGCGGCCGAATACTACTGTGGGGGAGGAGGAGATGCAGGAGTGGATGTACACCAGTTTCGACAGCACGTAGGAGGATGGAGGAGGAGTTCGAAACACCTGCTTACTGCTGCTTATTCTGTTGCCAAGGGTTGCATCTGGCATGGAGCCAGAAGGTTTAAAGCAGGCATGGCAGGCCCTCCAGGCTGCTGGAGATGTGGGGCCCCGTGTGAAGATGCCTTTCACGCCTATTGGAATTGCCCTGCCCTCATTTCCCTGGGACATGAGCATGATGAGATCCGTGACTCGCAACACCTCCTCCCCAAAGCTCGGGCTGAACGAAACAGATTCCCGATCAAATGGTTCCGAGGACTCCAGCCGCAGGAGCAGACGGTCGGTTTTCTAGCCTCCAGACCTAGGAACAGCCAGGTGTACGGGACGGGCTGCCTTCGCACGGGCCGCTTCAGTTTCACCGAGACCAGGCTTGTGGGCACGGACGGGCCAGGTGGAAAGTTCTCTGCTGACCCCCGCCTTCGACGAGTAGGATGGGGACTTGTTCTCATGGGACGTGATAACTGGGCCCAGGGAACCCTATATGGTCTTGCCGCAGGAGCCCAAACTATCAACCGAGGTGAACTTACTGCCGCCATACATGCCTTGGCCCTTGAAGGGCCCATCGTCATCGTTACCGACAGTGACTATCTCATGAAAGGCGTCCGCAGGGGTGAGCAGTGGAAACATAAAAGTAACACCGACTTGTGGCCTCTCTTTTGGCAGGCCTATAATGACAGGACCCATCACGTCGCCTTTAAGAAGACCAAGGCGCACGCCACGTTGAGCGACATCAGCGATGGCACCGTGCGCCCCGACTTTTACATTGCCAACGCCGCCGCCGACGCCGTTGCGCGCAGAGCGGCCGAGTTTTTCGGATTCACGGAGGAGGAGGTTTTGGAGGTCCAGGCCAGGGATAAGGATATGCAGCTGATCAGATCCCGGCTTGCATGCATCCAAGATCTTAACTGGAAATACGGCCCCAATCTAAAGCAGCAGAAGGTCCCGAAAAGTGCCAAAACCCGACGGCTTCGAGAAGCCGAGATGAGCCCGCACTGTATCATCAAAGGGGGGGGTACCACAAGTTGTACCCGCTGTGCTGCTTTTTCTGTCACGCCTTCTCCAGGATGGGTTTCGCAGGTGTGCTTACCCAGGAAATATATATTTGAAGTCCACCCCTCCCACCACCCCAACATATGCATGGTAAAAGGGGTGGTGTTATGTTCCAAGTGTGGGGGGTGGGCAGCCTCTCGAGCCACCAAACTTTCAGGTCCTTGCGAAAAGCCAACAAGTACGGGGATCAAAGCGTCTCGTCGGTTGTTGCAGGGACAGAAGCCTAAAGGGCTTCTCGAATGGCCCGTGGGACAACTTGCCCATTTAAGAACGCAGGTTGCGACCCGCTGTGGCCTTCCACGAGAGAAGATAATCTCGTGAGTCATTTTCAGAAGGGCCCTGGCGCGCAGGGAGCCCACCTTCTAGTGCAGGTCAATAGGTCAATAGGAGGAGGAGGAGGAGGAGGAGGAGGTGGTCGAGGAGGCACAAGGAGGAGGAGGCAGGGGTTGAGGCAGGATGAGGAGCAGGCAGGAGGAAAAGGAGGAGGCAGGAGCAGGTGGGAGAAGGAAGGAGGCAGGAAGAGATCCCCAGGCAAGTCATACACATTCTCTGTCGAGGTCCTACCGCCGGAGTCTTTTTTTTTTTTTTTTTTTTTTTTTCTCTCTCTCTCTCTCTCTCTCTCTCTCTCTCTCGGGCCCCGCCAGGTGTTGGCAGCCCCCAGTTCTCCATGGAGTCGCGGGCGGCGGGTTTGCCCCGCCCCATGATGGCAAGGCCCACCGCGTTCCCGTGCAGGTTCGCATCGATTCTGCTGTGCCCTTCGGCTCGGCGTCCGCGGGGCGTGGCTACTGGCGGTGTCAAGGCGCGCCCCGTAGCCACGTTGTTGTCTCGAAGGTTGGTGTGCTATAGACTCTGTAGCGCCATGCTGTGCCCAGGAGGAGGAGGAGGAGGAGGAGGAGGAGGAGGAGGAGGAGGAGGAGGAGGAGGAGGAGGAGAGGAGGAGGGAGGAGGAGGAGGAGGAGGGGCAGCTTGGGAGCCTCTATGGGGCACTCTTTAGGGCCTCCCGGGAGCTTCCTGGGAGCCTCTTGATGGCATTTCCGGGGCCTCCTTGGGCCTCTTGGGGGCCTTTTGGGGTCTTCTCGGGGGCTTCTTTGGCAAGTCTGACGCCGTCGGAAGCCGTCTTGGGGGCGTCTCTGGGCCGACTTGGGGCCCTCTTGTGGTGCTCCAGGGCCGTCTTGGAGGTCATCTTGGGTATCTTGGAGGCCGGGCCGTTTTGGGGCAGTCTTGGGGCTCTTGGGCCCTTCTGGGTGGCCTCTCGGGCAGTTTGTGCAGCCTTCTGGGTGGCCTGCGCGCCGAGCCGAAGCCGCAGGGGAGTTCCTAAAGAACCAAGGACCTCCTGAAGTCTGACACGCCGGGCACCCCTGTGGCAGGCCAAGGAGGCTTCTTGGGCGATCTTGGGGCTCCTCGGGGCCGCCTTGGGGGCCTCGTGGGCCCCTCTGGGGCCAGCTTGGAGGCCTATTTGGGCGATATCGGGGCGATCTTTAGGGGTTTGGGGGCCGGCTCGAGCCGTCGGACGGCCGAAAAGAAGCACGCGCCCAAATCCCTCATACACCGAGTGTGGTTGGCATCTTGGGGCCCTCTTGGAGAACGTTTCCGGGGCATCTTGGGGGCTTTTTGGGCCGTCTTGAGCCATTTTGGAGGCCTTGTTGGGCGGATTCGGAGGCATCGTGGAGCCATCTTGGGCCGTCTTGGTGGCTTCTCCAGCGGACTCGAAGCAACTTGGACCATCTTGGGCAATCCCGGAGGCCATCTCGGGCCAGCGTGACCATCTTAGAAACCATCTTGAGCCGTCTTGAGGTTTGTGTGTGGACGTTGAGGTCGTTTTGTGCGGCCTTCTGAGTGGCCGGCGCGCTGGGCCGAAGCTCCATGGGGAGTTAAAGAGCCAAAAGCAGCCTGAAGTCTGGCACGCTGGGCACCCATGTGACAAGCCAACAGGGGGCGGCGGATCTTGTGGCATTCGGTTCATCCCGCCACCGCCCATGGGTTGGTTGTAGGTATGAAGCCTATTGGATGTTCGCTGCGATCTCGTGGGAGCCTCTCGGAGGCAGTTTGGAGGCCTTTGGGGGGCCGCTTCGGGGCCTCGGGGCCTCTCTCGCGCCTCTTTTGCGCCCGGGGCCTCCTGGGACTCCTGGGCGCCTCTTCGGGCCTCCTGGGGGCCACTTGGGGCGGAAGGCTAGGATTTCCGGTTCGTGTACCCTCTTGGGCTGGTTGGGGGTCCTCCAGGAGGCCTCTTGGGCCGGTTTTGGGGGCCTCTGGGGCCATCTGGGCGCGTCGGGAAGCCGAAACGGCGAGAATGCCCAAATCCTTCAAACAGCTCGGGGAAATCATTAATTTGGGCCTTTCGGGGCCCTCTTGGGAGGTCTCTTGGCGGCGTCTTGGGGCGTCTTCCGGGCCTCTTATTGGCCGTGTGGGGGCCATCGCGAGCGTCTTGGAGCGATTGCTCGGCGACCCTGGGTGGGGCTCTCTCGCCCCGTCTTGGGGTCCTTGTGGGGCCCGAGCAATTCACGCGGCACCGCTTCCAGGAGGCCAGGCGGCACGCGACAAGCCCCAGGGGGCACGAGAGATTTGAGAAGGAGTGCGGTCCCTTCAAGAATCCTCTCGACGAGACGTAAGAGTGACCTTTCGCCGGAGTGACCTTTGGTGCGGATCGCTGATCTCGAGGCGGCAATGGCGTCGTGCGCGCTTGTGTTTGGCCACCTCGCGGCCCCCAAAAGCCGCGCACCAAAGGTCACTCTTACCCAGGGTCACTCTTGCGTGTAGCCGATCTTCAGGAATGAGGAGAGAGGCTCGGAGGACTACGTAGGCACAGGACCTGACGACACGCCCACTCCTTGCCCAGTGGCACGGTTGCGGATGAACCATCGGTGCCGCAAAGGGGCCGCTGAGAAGCGCTCGGGCTCCTAAGGATTCCTGAGAACGGCCCCAGGAACAGCAAGCCAAACTAGCGGACCCCGCCCGCTAGGCAGCGGAGTGCCTGCTGGCCAGTTTCGCCAGTGAGGCGCCTGTCTCGTTGTTTGAGCTTGGAGCCTTGTTCAGGTGAACCCCAGGGCCGTTCCGAGTCTGAGCAGGAGAGTGTCGAATCTACGGTACGCACAACACGACGGAGGCGCATCCCGCCTCCTTACGGCGCTTGGTGCGGGCAAGCTGAATCTCGTCCGCCCCTTCGTTCGTTTGGCACCCTTCCGAACGCTCCTACCAACGGTGGCTCGCGACTGGCGTCAGTCGGCTTCGACGCTCACTTCCAGGACCTGGACCTCCGACGCCGCAAACCAACACTCCACTTGGCGGCAGAAGTCGCGAATAGAGCTGTCGTCGACGCCAGTTTTTGTTGCACATTTCTAGCAAGCTCGATTCGTCAGGGTCCCGGGAACCGAAACGTGATTAGTGAGCCTGTCGTGATTTCTCTCACGACACTTGCACGTTAGCGGAGGATGATGAAGTCGAGGACGAGGAGAACGAGGAGGAGGAGGACAAGGAGGCGGATGAGGACGACCAGGGGGACGAGGACGAAAAGGACGAAGAGGAGGATGAGCAGCAGTGGAAGCGCCGCCGCTGCTGTTGCCAATGCCGCCGATGCCGCGGGTGGCGCCGCCAGAGCCACCCATCATGCCGCCGTTTGGGTTGTGGCCCTCACCGTCAGCCCGCTGGCTCCTCCGAGCGAGGGCCGTGTGAGCGACGCGAGGAAACGGGGTCGTCTTCACGCGTACGGTCGTGCGGAAGTGCCTTCGTGTCCAGTGCAGCGTGCCACGCCGACAGCCCGCGCAAAGCTTCCGCGTAGGTCGCTACAGTCAGGACGCTGGAATAAGGAACGCTCGGGGCTCAAGGAGGGGTTCGGATTTTCGGGCGGCTCCTTCGCCAAATGTTCTGGAACCTGTTCGTGGACTAGGCCCGCCGTGGCCAGAAAAGCCCCCTGGTTCCCTACTGTGCGTTCCTTATGGTAGCACGATGGCTGTATAGTATGTCGCGTGAGACCCGTTTCTTTTCGTCGCTCGCGTGGCGGAGGAGGAGGAGGATGATCAGAGCCCCGAATCATCAGGGGTAACTCGGGTCAGGGGTAACTCGGGCTCGTTTTTCGTGAATCCGAACCCCAGTTACCCCGAACCCGAGTTACCCCGGATAATTCGGGCGTCCAGGGCCCCACATCATCAGGGGTAACTCGGGTCAGGGGTAACTCGGGTTCTTTTTTCGGGAATCCGAACCCGAGTTACCCCGGACCCGAGTTACCCCAGATAACTCGGGCGCCCAAGATGAGGAGGAGGAGGAGGAGGAGGACCAGTGTAAACCCCAGGCTCATCAACGATGTTGGAATAGAGCCTCCCTCCAAGCTCCCTCTTCATAGGCCCCTGCAAGGGTTCATTTCCACTGAGGGAACTCCTCGTTGGGAGAGAGCCGTTTGAAGACCCTGAAGCACGCCAAAGCACCATTCTCGGGACTCCAACGCCACGGATCAACCAGACTCTTGCGTCTTCACAATCCTGAATCGTGCCAGAACACTATGGCTGGGACTTGAACACCGCGAATCAACGTAAATGTTGGATCCTCGCAATCCTGAGTCTTTCCGGAACCACTTCTGGTACACTGACCATGGGAAGCCGTGAGGCCTTTGCATTTTGTTAAGACATATGTGCGCGGCGCTACGGCGAGAGCCACATTTTGAAAGCCACCCGCCCTCAATCCGTGAAGCGTTTGCAAACGTTTAAGACGAATGTGCTCGGCGCTGAGGCGAGAGCCACATTTTGAAAACAATCCGCCCTCAATCCGTGAAACTTTGAGTAATGTTCAAAAAGATTGCGCGCGGCGCTGAGGCGAGAGCCACAGTTTGAAAACCGCCCGCCCTCAACCGTGAAAATCTTGCACATGTTTACAACGAGTGTGCGCGGTGCTCAGGCGAGAGCCACATTTTGAAGACGAACCGCCCTCCATTTGTGAATACGTTGCCAGTTGTTAAGGCCCAGGGTCGCACATGATGAGGAAGTCTCGAAACGCCCAGCCCGCCGTTTCGACGGGACTCGAGGTGCGACACCGAGGAGTTTTTTGGATTGGGGAAAAAGAATGGACGAGGGGGAGGAGCAGGAGCAGGAGCGGGAGCAGGAGCAGGAGCTTGAGCAACAGGAGCAGGAGCAGGAGCAGCAGCAGCAGCAGCAGCAGCAGGAGCAGGAGGAGGAGCAGGAGGAGCAGGAGGAGGAGCCGTCCCGAGGACCTCTCGGTGGCGCCGCGCGCCGCGCAACCCTCGGGAGCCCCTCGGGAGAGCGGGGCCGCGGCCGCAGGGGGCCCCACCCTCGGGCCTGCCTGGCGCGCGCGCCCCTCCCCGCGGCGCCGCATGGCGGCGCGGCCGCCCTCTGGCAGCGCCGGCCGGTGACCGCCTGCACCTGGAGGGGCGGGGGGGGGGCCTG